CTACTTCTGATTTGGTCTTGTATTTATATAGGGGTGTAGTGGTGAAAAAATATGGCATGAATCAGCCATTAACCATGGCTTTGAAAGCAAAATCGAAAGATTTGAAAAGTTGTCATTTTGAGATATTTCATGCCACTTTGAACTTTGAGTGAACCTGGACAGATTATGGTTGGTGTTTTGCATGAATTTGGGCTTTGAGCTAATCAGTCCAAGCCCAACAACAAGCTTCATCCCATTAGATTTCATTTCGACTTGCATCTCCATTTCACATCAATTGATTCTTTCGACAATATCCTAAGCTTTATTCTTTTCGATGGCTCTGAGTTCCAATTCGAATTGCTCAAGGCTTCATCATCATGGCTTCTTCGACTTAGTCATCATCTGCATCGACTGTGTAATCTGGAAACCCCTCATATCCAATTAGCCTAGTCGAACTCAGTTCTTGTTCCTTTCGATCTCCTTTCCTTTAATTCGACCAATCGAAGTATCACCTCTTCCTTTTGACTTGTCGAAGCTTCGTTCTGTTCTTTTTGATCTCCTTTCCTTCAATTCGACCAATCAAAGTATCACCTCTTCCTTTTGACTTGTCAAAGCTTCGTTCAGTTCTTTTCGATCTCCTTTCCTTCAATTCGACCAATCGAAGTATCACCTCTTCCTTTTGACTTTCGAAGCTTCATTATGTTCTTTTCGATCTCCTTTCCTTCAATTCGAGCAATCAAAGTATCACCTCTTCCTTTTGACTTGTCGAAGCTTCGTTATGTTCTTTTCGATCTCATTTCCTTCAATTCGACCAATTAAAGTATCACCTTTTCCTTTCTATACCTGAAACATATTGATCCAAAAACTCTAAGATGACTTATATTTGGCTTCAACCCTGTCCAAGCCTCATATGGTTCCTTTTTTGACCATCTTCTTCGTTGGGCATCAATACAAATATACTTTGAAGTGCACACTTTCTGTTTTTTGTGCAAAGATGTCCATTGACTAAAATTGAACGAACATATGCATGTGAGCATAATTAAAAATATTTAGCACATGTGTCCTACCAAGCAGCAATAAGCATCTCTTTATGCATTTGGGATGTCCCTACAGAGTTTTCCATTAACATTATCCCCACAAAATCCTTTTCATAGGATAGTCCCCAGCCAGAGTCTCAATCTCTTGACAGCCCTTCCCCCAGTCGAGTTGGTCCTAAAAGAAGAAGCCTTGTGGATCTCTTCCTAAAAGAACTCACCTTGTTAGCAGTTCATCAAATATTCCTCAATAGGGTTTATTTCCCCAGCCGAGTCTGTATTCCCCGGTTGAGCCTATCCTCTCCAGCTTGAGTTTGCCTATCAAACTATTACAAATCAGAGGACCACAACCTCTTTTCTCCAGTAAAGTCACCAACAAAGTCATTGCTATCTTCGGAAGTTATTATGAATACTGGAGCCCGACCAGATAACAATCAACTTCATTCTTTCAAACAAGTTACTATAAAGCCTGGACCCGACCAGCTAATAGTACAACTTTTAATTACTATGAAGCATGGACCCGACCATATAATAGTGTAACTTCTCAAAATACTATGAAGCCTGGACCCGACCAGATAATAGTTTAACTCCAATAACTATGAAGCCTGGACTCGACCAGATAATAGTTAACTTCTCAAGACACTATGAAGCCTGGACCCGACCAGATAATAGTTTAACCCTTCGAGATATTGAAAAACCTGGACTCAACCAGACAAGAGATTAATTTCTTTTCCCAATAGAGTTTTCCTCTACCCCAGCAGATTATTATGAAGTCTGGACCCGACCAGATATTAGTTCAACTTTATCTTTTCAAACGAGTTATTATGAAGCCTGGAATATGACAAGATATCAATTAACTTGATTCCCTCATAAATTTATTGTGAAGCCTGGAATTCGACCAGATAACAACTAATTTCAAGCAAGTTACTGTGAAGCCTGGATCCGAATAGATATCAGTTCCACTTCATCTATTCAAGCATGTAATTATGAAGCATGGAGTTCGACCAGATAGCAATTAACTTCATCGACCTCAGAAATCTATGAAACCTGGAATCCGACCAGATAGTGGTTTAATGTTAGTAAGTTTCTGTGAAGCCTGCAATACGGCCAGATAACAGGTTAACTCATCCTCCCAAGAAATTTTCTATGAAGCCTGGAATCTGACCAGATAACAGTTAATTTAATCTTCCCCAGTAAGTCACTGTGAAGCCTAGAACCCGACCAGATAAAAGTTCAACTTCAAGCAATTTTCTGCGAAGCTTGGATTCCGACCAGATAACAGTTAATTCAGATTTTCCTCTGCAAGTTACTGCGAAGCCTAGAATACGACCAGATAGCAGTCAACTTTATTATCCCCAACAAATTGCTGCCAAGCCTGGATTTCGACCAGATAGCAGCCAATTTTCGATGCTCTCCAGTCAGGAATAATTCCCTAGTAAGAGCATTGAACAATCAAAACTCCTAAACTCTTTTCCCCAATCAGAGATCAACACTCTCCATAAAGTCTCCTTAAAAAGTTAGTATTCCCCAGTGGAGTTTCTCCTCAAACAATAGAACAAGAATTCCCAGCGGAAATAGTTTAAACAAAGCTGAAGATACGCCTACTCTCCAACAACAGTTCAAGTCTCAGCCTCCCAAGGCTTCCCATCATGTTGTCAAAGATTTATTTTCCTAGACAAAGACACGCTGCAATAAACGCACCACATTCATAAACCATAACGCATACAGGACAAATGCATACAACATAATCTCATTTATTTTGAGAACATCATTGCGCCATGCATACATATGCATGCAACTAATATTTTTCCTTGCAGGAAATCAACATGCAAAAGACATCTACCATTTCAGTATAAACCAACCAAAAGATTTATCCTGATACCATCCATCATCCCTCCAAATGGCATCTTTAAGCCTATTCCCTCCACAGTCAGCTAACATATCATCGAGTGCAAATTTCTAGGCACTTTAGTGTTCAATCATCTTCCACCTTCAAGTCACGAATGGCAGGCTTGCCAATATAACTCTTCAGGTTTAAGAAGATTGAACAGGGGCAGTTGTTGTACCCCAAAATTTGCCCTCTCATTTTTCAAGGCCTTTCTCACAAGGATTCTCAAGGTTCAAGCTTGCACAAGTACATTGGGATTTTCCAGTACCAAGATTAAAAGGAAACTGTCAAAAAGGGAGAAAATAGATAAAAATAATATTTTGACAAAATTTGGAGAAAAAACAAGTGTTCTTCGATTCAGCTCCTATGATTGGCCTTTTGGCCTCCTTCGATGCAAGTTTGGCTTGCATCCTTCGACTGGGCATGGGCCTCTGGCACGTTGGCTTGGATTCACAAGGCACAAAGCCTCATGTAGCCTCCTTCGATTCCAAGGTAAAAGGCTCCCTTTTGGAATCCTTCGATTTGCACTTTTTACCTCCTATATGCCTCTTTCGAATCTGGACATTTTGGCCTCCTGCATGCACCTTTCTCTTGGGCATATGGTTCCTTAAGTACAAGGTTTTAGTCACACCTTTCGTTTGGGCACATGAATCCTTCAGCACAAGGCTCCCTTCATACTTGCTTTGTTTGGGCGCATGAATCTTTTAGTACAAGCTACTGGTCACACCTTTCGTTTGGGCATTGTGGTTACCTTCATGCAAGTTTAGTTTGAACATAGATCTTTTGCATGTTGGTATGAAGTCACAAGGCAGGGACCCTCTATGTACACTCCTTCATTTGGCCACTTGGACCTTAGGGCAGGCAAGCCTTTGACTGGACAAAACCACCTTCACAAGGTTTCCTTACATCCTGTGTCCCCATCGAATCATCATCTTTCGAATCCAACTCTGAGCATCCCATTTGAAGGACATGCTTGATGGTCCATTCGAAGGATTCGCAAGCCACTTTAAGGCATGTTTTTGGTGACCCATCCAAGGGTCACACTTTTGACTCATCCGAAGGATGCACAAAAGTGACTCAATCGAAAGGCACTTGTCAGAGGAAAATCAAATAGTTTTGTTTGGAGAAGAGACTGGTCGAAGAAGGGTCAAAATGAAAGGGTAAAATATTCAAAGATGCTTGCTTCCAAGTTCAGGCCTGATACACTAGCCATAAAACTCCAAAACTGCTGCACAGCAGTCCTGCAACACTGCCTTATTCCTTGCACCAAAATGGCATATAAACACTTCCCCTCGAAAGCTACAAACACAATATGCCTTTTTTGTTTAAATCTTTTGTTTTCCCTCACTACAAGAAAAATGATAGATTGGGACGGTTATTTTGGCTGATTACGACGGTTAAAACCGTCGCAATTTACAATCTACGACGGTAGAAGTACCGTCGCAGAATCGTGCGTCCCCAGCCTATTTCGCGACGGTTGCAAAAACTGTCACGCACAACAGATAGCGACGGTTATATACCGTCGTGAATTTGATTTTATTTTTTGTTTTTGTTGTTATTTGCGACGGTTATTCTACCGCCGTAGGTTAGAAATTGCGGCGGTTTTAACCGTCGTAATCTGATTTATAAATTTCAAATAATATTTTTATTTAAATTATTATTTAGTAAAATAATTTTAAATATAATATTATTTTACTATAATATTTTACTATTATATTTAAATTATTATTTACTTTAATATTTTTTTATTTATAGTATTTTTATTTTATTTTCTATCACTTTTCAACATAATAAAGTTAATTACAATAAAAACATTTAATATCAAATAATCATCAATAATATCAAAAAAATGTGATCAAAGGTAAAAAGAAGTGCAAATTTTACCAATAAACAAGAAAAATTCAAATATCATCAAATGCCAAATTTCATTTTAATATTTACATTGGTTTGCTACAACTTGAGAGAATTACAAAAAATGTTACAATATTTACATTGGTTTGCTACAACTTGAAAATATAAATCGAGCCTATTGTTCTATGTTAACCATGTACTCTAATTCGGTCATTTATCAGAGATCATGAAACACAAGAAGATCGTAGTTATTCGGACTTTTTGTCAGTCTCTACAGGAGCCTTAACGTCCAAGCCCATCTCTCGCATTTGATGTTCAACAGAGACTAAACCAGTTTCTGCAAGAAACCTGCAGAAAAATAAAAGCATTGGAAGATCAACAGAACAATCCTAACCAACAACTGATCTCATAGTTAGATGTTACAAGAAACACAAAGCATCTCATGAGTTTAATTTGATATCTGATACTACAACAATAAAACATGCATTTCCTTTTCATTTGGTTTACTCTCGGAAATTTTCCACCAGAAGGACGCTGAAAAGGTCTGAATCATTTCATCAAAACAGAACAAGCATTATGCAATTATGATACATCAACTAATCATATATGCACTTTTGTTCCTTCCTAGTCTAATGCACCGGGTGAAAGAAAAAACCTAAGTTCATGACTAACGATATTATCGATCCATCACAAAGCATTTGACATAGCAATACACAAGGCAACAAACACGCGCATACACATAAAACTTCACTAATACTTCATGTATAAAACCCACCCATTCCAACTACATTACTTCCAAACTAGAATATTTGGCAGCTTATACAGGCAAAATGTTTGCACAACATCAACATATTCCTAGATGAGATATTTTTCGTGAGATCAAATGGTGGACAAGTAGTTAAAGATAGGGAGACCTAGCAAAAATTAAACCATTTGAAAGATAGATCTAAAGCTAAATGATTCATAATTAAAGATGATTCATGGTAGGACATTATGATTAAGCTGTCACATACACAATGAGAAAAATAATTCTCCGATTGTTGTTGTTGTTCTGTTTTGTTAGGCTCAATTTTTAAAACATAACAAATGTAGAATAGAACTCACATACAGCTCCACACCAATCTAATATGTCTACAGAAAACTACTCCTGACTAGTTTCTTTCGAATCCAGATTTCCTCCAGTCTAGGAAGATATCTAGTCAAACAGTCAAGAGACAAGATCTCGACCACTGGATGAAGATCAGTAAACTCATGTCTAGTTTCACCAAACAAGCTTTAAAATACAAGTCATCCGATCAGCATCGAACGACAACATAAAACCCAAATCCTTACATTACATTATGGCTAGCAGATTATAGAGTGAGCTACTCAACAATCAATCAGCAGCATACAGAAACAAAAACAAAAGGGATTATGAATTGGTTCATGTTCAATCAATACTTCACATGAACACTTTACATACAAAACATGAATGATAATCAAAGCAATTACAATATACAATTACAGAAGGGATAAATTAGTGAAAGGGTAAGAGTGAAAGTACCAGCTAAGAAGAAAGAAGAGGGTAACACAAATTAGAACAAGAAACGCAACATGAAGCACCAACCACGATTTACAATTCTGTGTCGGTGTTAATTACAATTCTGTTCTGTTGAACAATGGGAAGCAACAACTGTACAAAAATAGTTACTTCGAATTTAGAAGGCATAAAATTTTGCAAACGTTAAGACACAAAAGTTGAAACACATTAAATCACCTGCACTTGATCAAGCCTGGAGTGAACTCCACCATCACTCAGTAGTCCAATGAGATGCAATGTGCCAGTTACAAAACTTTCCTTGATGTAATTGAAACCTTCTCCCTCAAAAATCTTTCCAGATTCAAGAGCAAGGTCAACAAGCTTTGCACTACAATAAACAAGCACAAATCAGTAATCCCAATCATCACTTGTTCTAGAAATACGATAGCACAGTCAATATGAATAGACAAAAGGAAAGCATCAGAAAAAACATTTCAAGATGGGAAGCATGCAACAACCAATCCTAATACCACTGAACAAATTTATTGACATCAAGATACAAAACAGTTTCCATTCAAACAGAAGAACGCAGTCCGGGGAAAAATGAGATGCACGGTAATGCAAAGCCACATAGATGTTGATTATTGTGTTGAATCTAAAACAAAACTAGGCAGAGCAGGGGAGCAAATTTGTACCTACTGATCCCATTTATGATAATTCAAGAAAAAAGGTGGATCATAGAACAAGACATAGCAGGAACTGCTATGCCATGACATAAAAGAATAGGCACAGCAAATCCAAATGTTTCAAGCAACAAAATTAGTTCACATTTTCTGATATGGTAAATCAAGAAACACCATACCAGCTACACAGTTTAAGAAACATCAAAGACCAATTCCTTACCAAGACATACATGAATAAATGGAAAAACGAGACCAAACCAAATAGATTGAGATTAGAAGCTATTTCAATTTACCCTTGAGCAAATATACGTCCAGCACCGAGTGCGTTGTGACCAACTTCACTGTTACCCATGTCATCCTCAGTTGGAAGCCCTACAGCTTTACCATGAGCCCTAACCAATCTCCAATGTTCAGGTGCACCCTACAACATAACAAAAAAAAACCACCACCATTAATTTTCATCTTCAAGGAAAACCCAAAACAGCAATAGATCTAAGCAGATTCAATCCAAAGTCCAAACAAGTTCAATCCAAAAGACAAATTGAAAAACAGAAAAGGTATATGCATAGTTATTATCATTATTATACCTTTTTAAGGGAATCCATGGTGGGTGTTTCGGCGATATGGATACAGTTGTACTCATTAGGGTTAGCCTCACCCCAACCATCCAAAACAACAACAGCAATAGTCTTTCCCTTTGGAAGCTTAGGATGATCCGGTAATTTCCATGAGAAATCTGAGCTACCCATCTTTCTTCTTCTTTTCTATAACAAACTCTGATTCAAAAATCTTAACAAACTAATCAAAAACAAATTCCATCATATATTATCTCTATAAACATCTACAGTTCTTGTGTCGGTGTTAATTACAATTCTGTTCTGTTGAACAATGGGAAGCAAAAGAAATGGAAAGTGTGTGATAGTAGTATAGGGGGCATATTAAGTGAGAGGATTGATTTATGAGAGGTGAGAGGATGTAACCGTTAGATCAAAAGATTAAATCCCTCAAAGTATCAAGATTAAATCCCTTAAAGTATCAAGATATAATCCGTGAACCACAACTGGATGTGATAAAGATTTCTTCATTCATTCTTGGGCAAAATTATTTATTCTTGGTTGTGATTATTAAGACTATGTTTTAAAACCACCCACCATGTTACATTTGAGTCATGACCTGTCCATTCAAATTTGAACAATCTCATACCACCTTCACCTTTGAGGAATCTCAATTAAGCCACGACCTGTGTCCTTCAAATTTGAACAATCTCGTACCACCTTAATCTTTGAGGAATCTCAATTGAACCACGACCTGTGTCATTCAAAATTGAAAAGGCTGGTGCCCCTCATATGAAGCTGTAAGTTGTATTGCAAGTAATCCCTGTTTCAATGAAAGAAAACCATTAATATATTTTTTTTTAACTTTTATGAAAATCAAAACGACAAAAACTGAATGTCAGTAAATCGTAACAGCAAGTCACTTGCTGCATAAATTTTCTTAAATTCTCAGTGACAGTACAGACATGCAGGGTGTCAGTGCATCTAAAAAACTTGTCTCCAGATGTATATTAAATTAATAATATTATATTTTTTTATCAAGCTAACTGTAAGAATAAATACCAGAAAGGAAGTGATGATGCAGAATCCTAATGTGTTGTAACGGCCGAAATATGTGTCAGAGACGAAAGCACCAAGCAAGGTAGCAACGTTGGTACTGCCATTGAAGATGTTGATGATGTTTGTAGCTGTGACGTTGTTTAGGTTGAATACAGTTGTAAGATACACCAACAGGTTCAGTAATGTTCCAATGGCTCCCAATTTCTCAAATGTTTCATTTCCTGTACATCAAAATTTTCAACCATAATTAGACTAAAAAACACTGTTTGTAAGAGAGTACATGTTTTTCTACTTCTTAGTTTAGTTACCTATAATGTAAGGCATGACCTTCCAACCTCTGTAGATGAGCTTAGAATCATCATCAATTTCATGTTTTTCACTCATCTCAAAGCTTTCTTTCTCAATTTTTTTCATTGTTGTTTCACTCTCTCCCATTATTCACAGTTATGTATGCACGTTCAAGATAAAAAGAAGCAAAGAGAAAGTAAACTTGCCTTCAAACACAATGTTGAGCGTTTGACAGCATGAACATTTGACATGTTTGGCACCTGATGGATACGAAAGCAGACGTCTACAAGAACCACAAACCATTTGAGCAAAACCTGTTAACACATATTTTCTAGTCAAACTCAACAAATTAAACTCAACAAATTAATACTCAGCAAAACCTGTTAACACATATTCAATCTCTATTACATAAATCCATATATTACAACAAATCAAAATCAATTACAGTAGTGAATCAAATCCCTAATTGGTTCTAAAATCTCTAATTTGTGCTAATCCAATTTGTAACAGCAAATTGATCTAAAACCATAAAATCTAAAGCCTATAAATACAGAAGAAGAATTAACAGAGGGGGGACTGAAGACAGAAAGGGGTCGATTACAATGAAGAAGAAAATCGAAAAAACGGACGAGAATACAGAGACAGAGGGAGAGAAAACAGAGAACTTGAAGAACGCGAAGAAGGAGATACCAGCGTTGTCGTTGAAGACGAAAAGAGAAAGAGCAATTAGGATTTAAACATCTAAAACCCTAATTGCTAATCACCGTAGCTTCGCCGCCGCTATTCCATTCGAACTCGCCAGAATCTACAAAGCAAGAGAGAAAGAAGATCAGAACAAATCGGACAGAAAGTCATAAAGCAATCGCGAAAGGGGTAAGATCTTTAGCTTTTTGTTTGTTTTTGGTGGTTGGGTTTTGATTGAGGGAGAACTGGGTTTGAAGGTTGGGGGGTGAGAGGCTGCGCGGGAGAGAGATGAAGGGTTCACTGTAAAAATAAAAGTGTAACAAGAATAATGAAATGAATAAGAGCTTTTTAAGAGCTTTTTAACTTTTTTACGGCGACGGGTGTTTTACCGTCGTGCCCATGAGAATTTTTAAAGGTTTTGGGTGCGACGGTTGTTTTACCGTCGTGAAATGAATTTTAGGACGGATAATTTTACCGTCGTGAAAGGTTTAAAGGTGCGACGGGTGCTTTACCGTCGTGATATGCCTTTTAGGACGGTTAATTTTACCGTCGTGACTAGTTGTTGGTGAAAAATCAATGTTAAAAGTGTTAAATGGGGGCCGACGGTTGTTTTACCGTCGTAAACACTGTCTCTATATGTCAATTACGACAGTTATCACATAACTGTCGCAATTTTTGTGTCGTTAAACACTAATTTTCTTGTAGTGCCTCCTAAAACATCAGCCCAGGCCATCTATAAATAAGAGACTCCACCACACATGTTGAGGGCGCCTGAAGGATTGCAAGAGAACACTTGTGAAAATTCCCAAAATTCTCAAACACTTCCAACATTTTTCAAACACTTCTAGAAAAAAACTCAACCCCTATTTTGTTATAAAAAGAACCTTCGATTCACCCCCAAGAGACCATCTAACTAGCCTTCGACCCATTTCCCCAACTACCATGCAATAGCCCCTTTGAGTCATTACATTACTTGTTATAAAAAGAACCTCCGATCCATTCACACAACCTCTTTCGATTCAGTGACTGCTTGTACAAAGTGGTTTAGTCTCAGGAAGGTCCCAACGAATTTCAATTCTCCACCAAGGAAGACACTTGCAGTTTCCTTCAATTTAAGAACTTCAAGAGGTAAGTTCCCTTTAAACTTGAATCTATTATATTTAAATATCATTTGCACATGCCAATAAAGAAAATGTATATATTTCATATAGGGAGCTTGACCATGTCTTAGCTTTCGATTCTGACTGCACATATGCTAAAAATCCCAAATTTGAATAGTTAGGCTTTGGACTTTGAGATCCAATGATTTTTTTGCTAACCCCTGGCCTGTAGTTACACTTGAATGTTGCATTTTAAGAATTTAAGACATGTTCATTGTACCTTTCAATTGGCTAAATGCACAAGCCCTTCGAATCACAATTTGAGGGCCCAATATGATTACAAAGAGTCATCAAGGAACCTGGGCAAAGCATGAGTGTTACTGCTTCTGGGTCTCAAACAAAGCCCAGAACCTTGTTATCTCTAGGCCTCAAACGAAGAATTGTGCTGGCTTCCAGGCCCCAATTGAAGGACACACCTACACTGGTGCCAGACCCCAATCGAAGGACACGCCTACGTTGGTGCCAACCTCCAATCGAAGGAAGCCAGAAAGTGTAGAATCGAAGGGTATCCTTCCCCAATCGAAAGACCCTCATTTCTCTTGATTTTATCTTATTTTTGTCTTTATATTTTCATGTACTTCAATATGGTTGTAATAGCGTAGGATTTTATCTTTCTGCATTTTATTTTTTTTGTATGCTTGCTAGTAAAATATTACATGTATGACAAGATAAAAACAACAAGTAGACAACCCCTAATCAAAGATTAAATGCATGTAAATAAAACACACTATTCACACATGCACCCCTAGGGTTAACTCCACTTGTTGCCTATAAATGGTCATGTTATGCATGTGAGATGTCTTAGCAAAAACAATTAAAATACAAGATCATAGTCCCTCGATGATGCTTCGAATTTCGCCTTACAAATGATCTTAGTCCCTCAAGAGAAATGCTAAGATATCTCACAACATTTCTATCATGACTATACAAACGTCCCACACCCGTCCCTTCATATCCAACGACATGTCTTCTTACCAAATCAATAGTAAGATAACAACATCTAAAGGAGGAGGAAAAGAACATTTAAGACATTTTGAGTAGGTAGGTTGCTCCTAGTTGCTCGCTTGCTCACGACAAAAAAATTTTATACACTAACACTTTCATTTTGAAACATTTTCAAAAGACAACACTCTGTATGCGTTCTTATAAAAACAAAATCCATTACAAAGACACCTTTTCAAAATACTTTAAAAACCCACACCACAAGCACATTTTCAAACAAAAACAATTGATCTAGCAAGCAACTAAGAGCCTATAGATAACTATGGATGAAAAGGGTTCTACCACCTTCCCATTTCATAACCTACCCCCCGAACTCAAGAAAATAATCTTGAAAGGTATTTCCTGTTCTTTTTAGCCTTTCCTTATTTGATAAAAGAAAAGTCGGTGGTAACTCTTGCTATCCGCAACAATTGCGATCAAACGCAAAATACCTAAGTCAGTTCTCCCACCGGGTTACAGAACTGGCGACTCTGCTGGGGAAATTGCTTAAATATGGGTTTACCTTAGGGCTAGATCATCGTTACTCGCTTTCCTTGTTTGACTTGCTTACTTTACATTTTGGTTCCTTGTTTGGGTTTGTTTGATCCTCTACCCGTATCTGGGGCACCTTTTAGGTAAGTAGCAATAAGTTGTGGAAACTGTGCGGGGTATACCGACATGGTCTAAGCAATAGCTATGATAGTGTGACACATTTATTGGTACCAGTAGCCCTTGAGTAGTCAAGGAGAATATGGGGCCGCTGTGTAGTGTCATGAAGCACTAACTGACTTTAGAACCTTTATTTGACCAACTTGGCCATTAGGAAGTAGTGAGATAGCCGACTTTGGTGCAGTCAGAAGTTGGTTGATACTCGATACTGCACTCATTGAGATTTAACTCCCGAGCTTTGTTTGGTGGCAAGTCATTTGTCAATCGGAACGAAACTTGTGGGAAAGATCAGTGATTTTGAGATCCCTTAGAACCCGGTTACTATTACTAGGACAAGTTAAGCCAACTAAACTT